CTCGGCTAGCCGCAGTCAACGGTGGCAGAGCGCAAGTGGCGTGGGGCGGTGGCACCAATGGACGGGCGTTCTGGCGAGCGAGTGGCGGCATCGGTGGCGGTGGACGGCCATCTTGGCGCACGGCAGCAGCGAGCGGCTGTTTGGTAAGCACTCGTCGGGCAGCTGGACGGGGTCGGAGCTGGCTAGATTCGCCAGCCGGAACTGATGGTCGTCCGACGCCGTCTTCAGCACAACCACAGACAGACTCGCTGTCCAGCGCCTCAGTCTCTCCGTCTGGTATCACACAGGGGTGGGCTGTGTTATAATACAGGCTGGCACAGGGGAGTAGTTAAGTCAAATACCGACTTGACACGAGGGAGGCGGCTGGGTCGAACATCGAGCTGACAAGGGGTGGGGGCTGGGTCAAATACCGACCTGACAAGGAGAGGGGCTGGGTGAAAGAACAAGCTGACACAGAAGAGAGGCTAGGTCGAACACCGAGATGACACGTGTAAGTAGTTAGGTCAAATACCGACCTGACACGAAGGAGAGGGCTGTTTATTTGTTTGTTTGTTGGGGGTTAGGGCGCGCCGACTGCAAGGTCATTTTGCGCCCATAACGGAGATTTTAAATGCGTCTTAAGTTACTTACTAATTTATGTTTGATGCTTAGGAAATGAAAGTAACGGGGAAGTTGGCTGCGCGGATAAAGGAAAATAAGCCATCGTTATGGATCCAGCGCGAGTTGTCGAGATAAAATTTAAGAGAGTCACTGTGGGCACAGGATGCCCGAGGTGGTGTGACCGCATCCGGGAGAGCCGGCGGCACGTCAGTCAGCAGAACATGGGCCACTGCGAGTTGCTCCCCACAGTGGATACATGAAGGGGGCTGGGGCGAATACCGAGCTTTCAACGCAAAGGTTGTTACTCGACAGCCGAACAGGGAATGCTGGAGAGTCAGTCACCGCAGGAGTCAAAACAGAAGGGAACTGTATTATAGTTCGTTTTTTTAGTTCGACCCTCACTGTATTTTGAACAGAGCACGAGAATCGCTTACTGAATTACTGAAAAACTAGTTGGCGCACACTTATTCATAGACGATCAACTTCATCTAAAATGATTCCTAACTGGCGCCCATTTCCTGCAGATTTACAGCTCGTATTCACCCATATTTAAAACTCAAAAGTGATAGATACTTGTCTAGAATTATAACTGAATCAATTATTAAATCGCAAGACATTTGACATAACGCTATACCATCACGGCGTCGCCACCGGGGAGCCAGCAGGGGCCGGGCACCCCAACTTTGCTTGAGTTGGGAGAGGGGGGCTGGCACTCACAACTTTTTGTTCTGGGCCTCGTTTCATAAAGCTCTGCCGCTTACACTTTTCCATAATGAACGCCCTTCAAACACGGAGCGCAATAGAAGCGGTTACCAGTGTCTAAAACTTTCTAATTTAGAAGAGAATCTAAATTAATTTATTAACGACATGACGCAATTAACCACATTGCATCATGTCGCATATCATTCGTTTCGGCTGATTCGAAAGAACACAATAACGCCTTTTTGAAGCTCTAGCCTCATTGTGTGCTAAATTATTAGCAAAAACGTAGTTTGACCTTATTTGACCTCAGACGACCCGACCGGTGTTTTTTTTTTTTAGCAAACAAACACCAATTTCATCCTCAATTGAGCTAAACTGAGGGATTACAATACAAAAGCGCTAAAATGGAGCATATTTTTTACAATTGGAGCTATTAGGACAAACTTTCTTAGAATTTGTCGTGACCTCTAGATGACCTAAAGTCAACCGAACTTCACAAACCTGGATGTACGTTATACAACTCGGTAAGCTGTGCATACCCTGCCAGTTTGAATCAAATTGATGGACAACTCGAGATTTCATTGACAAAAAAAAAAACGTATTTTCAGTGCCATTTTGACCATGTACCTACCGGTTTTTGTGACCTTGTGACCTGACCTGAAGCCACTGGAACACAAAACTCCCAGGACACGTGTCAAATGGCTGCTCCAAGTTGAGTTTGAAATTTGGTGGCGCTAAGTCCTGCGGTTCTTACGATATGAACGATAAACTTAGCGATTCCGTTGCCGCTTATATAGTCAAATTTTACCCTGCATTGTACCGGTTTCGGTGACCTGGTGACCTGACCTAAAATGATAGACCTGAAATTATCAGGGAAGGTGCGAAAAGGTTGCCTCAGACGGCATGCAAAATTTAGCAGCGCAACGCGCTGCCGTTTTTGTGTTGTTCGCGAAAAACACTAGGGGGTTGCATCAACCCAATTGGTTCAAACCCATTGGCTGTACGCAGCAGGCTGATTGGCTGACGCTTAACTGGCTGCATTCTAAGGTACCTATTTCTTCAATTGAGGCACACTTTCCTCATAAAGGCTTTTTTTCAGGACGAGAAATGGAATCTCTTTGCCTAGGGTGATCGTTGGGGCGTAAAAGCTCCTGATTTGTGCTTTTTCTCAGCTCAAGCTATGGAACTGCTATTCCAGTCGAAACCCCATGTTAAAAGTGAAGCATTTTCTTTAATGACCAGTAATTTGAAAAAAAAAATAGGAGCATAAAAACTTTTGGGACACCCTGTAATTACCCAACTTCGCTGGCGGTACATGGTACGGTACACAATTGTCGCACAACTGCTATACGAGGCTCGAGATTTCCCCACTAGCCCCACAACAGATGCACCAACTATCAGCCGAGCCATTTCAACATACACATCTGGGCGAACATGACCTAGCTTCCTTCGGTACCCTCCCCCCTCCCCCCCCACACACACAGTACCCACCTGTTGAGCATCATCAGCTGAGATGTGGATCAGCGGTAGCTCTGTCCGCAGGTGCGTAGCTCCGGGGCCACTTCCGCCGCCAGCTGTTGATGTCGTTGTTGCTGTGTCCCCACAGCTACCGCCGTAGCCAATACAAGCCTCTTGCGGGCCTCGTAGCCGGCGGCTAAGGTCACCACCACGTCGTCGCGCTTGACATCGAGGGCCGCGCCGACGATGTTCCATAGCGCACACAGCCGAGGCCCGTAAAAGCACGGACACTCCGGCAACACGTGCGCTTAGGTGTCCACTGCTTCACCGCAGACCAAGCAGCGGCCAGCTTGGCATTCATTGTCGTTACATTAGGCGAACTCGGACATTGATCTCTCAATCCGGTGAAGATACTGCTCCGATCATCCCCAGTGGCCCGACCAGAGCTGATGAGTGTCAACAGCCTCCTCCCTGGTAGCGGCTCGGACCAGCGGTCCCCTATAACGATGCAGTACCAGCCAGTTGGACAGTCTGCTTGCCACCTCTCCCTGGTGGACCGCGCGACAACTCGCGGACGGACGTGAGAGTACGGACATCGACCTGGGATTGTCTGCTGGAACAGGCCAAACAAATCATCATTATTGGTCAGAGGGTTGACTTCGCAGCCGAAAAAAGGCGCTGTACGTAGTCAGAACGGCGTCCTCACGGGATAGAATACAATCTGTCGCTGAGTGAAGGGCACCGCAACAGGACGGAGGTGAAACTTGGTAAAATAGTGACACAAAATGTGTTTGTGTGAAGTGAGTTGTGGGGGGGGATGCATCGTTGGAAGACACCAGTGAGAGACACCGGGCTCCGGCGGCGCACGGCGGCCCGGCCAAGCACACATCGTACACGAGGCAGCGTGGGTCGTCCTCGCACGGCGCAGCTAGCCGAGCCGTGCGAGGACGCCGTCGCTTGCAGTCGCACAAGAAGCCACCCACAAAAAGTGCATGTGATGTTACTTCCAGGTAGCACATGTGGTCAAATTATACTCGTAAGTTCGCTTTGGTGCTAAGACCTTTGCTTGCGTTATTTTCAATCCAATCATGAATGGTATCTATTAATAAGATCTGATGACAAGTAGTATTGTCATGGGATGAACAATGGGAACTATTTTTAATTATATTCTTTTAGAATGGCTACACGTGTTTCGACAAAAAAAATATTTTTCAAGCCTTAATATCCAAATGACATTATTTAAACATTGGCCTAAATACACATCATGCAAGTCAATAAGTGACATAACTGATAGTAAATTCCTTCGAAGAAACATGTCGCATTCTATGTCGCACCCCTGTACGCCAGATCCCTTTCAAGTAGCTGAGCCGCGTACCTACTGAGTTTCACTTTACTAACACTGCCGTTCAAAGTTGAAAGTGTAGAAATGAATGCTGCCTCTAAATCCTGTCTATGTTTCTTTTGGAACTCTTTACACAAAATTGAAGCTCCGTTCCAGTCTGGAAGGTGACCTGCCACGTCGACATGTTGTACAAAATACAAATGCATTAGACAGTCTATCTATATTACTATTTGAGGAGGGTGCGTCTGTCCGTTACCGAGGTCCCGACTTGGTGGTGCTTTGCGTGGACTACAGGCCAGACCGTTGCACCTAGCCCGATGAAATTTGCACAACTTATAGATCAAGGATGCGCGACGTGCCTTTGAGGGGTCTCAGCTCGATCGGATTGATAGGGACGCGTGGCGCGTGCTCAAAAGTGCAAATTCGCGTCATAGACTTTACATGTATAAATCGGCGTGCGAAATCGGGCGAAAACGGCTAATTTTGGCCGACACGGGTCCAGTTCCCGTGCAATATCTTGGTGACCAGGGGTCCGACCGGCACGGGGAAAACAGCATCGGGTACAGAATTGAACGGGCTATTGAATGGTGTGCAATGCAGAGGATAGCACGCGCCACGTGCACCGGAGAGGGCACTTTTATTTGAAAAATTGCGGTTTTTGAGGGATTTTGGAATTAATTTTATTTTTAGGTGACCGTTAAATGGAGCGAGTTGAATCAACGCCTATTTGCAAGAGAAAGGTACCGCCTCTCATATAAAAATTGTGAAAAGCTGATTGATCCAAATCAAGGTGGTGCAAATCACAGGAGAAAATGGTGTGTGTCAATTTGTGCCACTTTATTAATCACACGGGGTTTGCTGCATAACCTGATACCTTTGGCAATTGAATATGATACCATTGGATAGAGCATTCAATTCTGTCCAATATTCACTCTTCATTTTTTGCATGATTAGCAACAGTTCCTTAAAAATGTAAATGTTCCAAACCATTACATTGTCATTTTTAGCGAAATTCATCGATCCCTCAAAGACTTCACGCCAGTTTTCGAATCATTCTAAAGTAGAACGCATGATAATACGACACGGGCACCTCGATGCAATGTATCTTTATGTTTCTTACCAAGTCAAAAAGCAATCGAACGAAAGGGATACCAACCAAATCGACACAGACCAACCCAATACCCTCGGGTCAAAAATAACCCTTCTTCGCGTTGCGGAGCACGCGGGTAACCCTAGTGATGCCTAAGATCGCTCTTGTGCTCTTTTGTCCGCGTATCTTTGCCTCTAAATGTTTCACCTATGTAACTTTTATCGCATGCACCACACGGAATTTTGTAAATCACACTGCCCTGGTTCTCGGTGGCTTTCTTCTTTCTTGACTGAACGAGGTTCTTGACTGTCAGACCGACTGCAGATGAAATATTGAATGATCCTTCCACAAATCTTCCTATAACTTCAGCTTCCTTTGACGCCAGTATCAAGAGGTAGTTATTTTTGTCGTTTCTTTCTCCTGCCCTTCTTCGAATTTTGATCGCCTTCTTTTCTAAACCGCAAAGATCTCAAAGACAAGAAGCTCGCAAGTTTTGATGTCAAGGCGTTGTTTACCAACGTGCCTATAGCTGGGGCGATCAAGGGCACTGGACCAGAACCCAGACATCATTCTGCCAGTGCCCAAAGCTGATTCCATTCGGCTAGTACGCTCTGTGTGGAGTTCGGCGCCCTAGAGTTCGAAGGCGCTGAATTCAAGCAGATTGACGGACTGGCGATGGGGTCACCTTTGAACCCGGTACTCGCCTGCATATTTAGGAATATTAGAAGCAGATCACTTTCTACGCATAGCCGGAACCGATACTACCTGGTTCCGGTATGTCGACGACATCTTGATCATCACAAACAACGACAAGGATTTGATGTCTTTGCTTGGCCAGATCAACAACGTTCAACCAAAGATACAATTTACCTGCGAAGAGGAAGATAACGGTACGCTAGCATTTTTGGACACGCGTATCTGGAACCGTAGTAAAAAGGCGGCGTTCTCAGTTCACAGAAAGCCGACCAACAAAAAATGACCTAATTCACTTCTACTCAGCCCACAGAAGCCGAACGAAAACAGAAGTGGTAATTGGGCTTCTATCTACGGGCCTTTCGTATTTGCTCTTAACAGTTTTAGAACAAGAAAGTATTTATTAAGCTCAAGTACCACCAGGCCTCCTATATAGTTTAGAGAAGAAAGTGATAAAAATTCGAAGAAGGGCAAGAGAAAGAAGAAACGGCAAAAAAACTACCTCTCGGTACCGGCATCAAAGGAAGCTGAAGTTATAGGAAGATTTGTGAAATGATCATTCAATATTTCATCTCCAGCCGGTCTGCCGACCAAGAACCTAGTTCAGTCAAGAAAGAAGAAAGCCACCGAGAGCTAGGGCAGTGTGATTTACAAATTCCGTGTGGTGCATGCGATAAAAGTTTCATAGGTGAAACATTAGAGGCATAGATGGCACAAGAGCGATCTTAGGCATCATAGATTGTCTAATGCATTTGTACAGCATCAGGCACATACCCATGATTTTGCCCAGAAGGGGCCACCTGCTCTCAAAGGGCCCACTGGTCATCCGGGGGACCCCTGCCAACTCAGACAGGGGCAGTGGCGGCGGAACACCTTCAATTAAGGGGGGGGGGGGCACTGCCGACTTTTGGTTCCATTCTTTCCATGCAACGCCCACAGGGCTAATGTTAAAATGCCATAATCAAGGGTGGCACGGTGCCCCCCGTTCCGCCGCCTATGGCAGGGGGCGTGCCCAGAACCTTTCATGGGGGGCTGGGTACAGTGGGCCCAGTCGTCCCTTGCAGACGGGCCCATCTGTAACGGTCTTAGTCCTAAGAAAATGTGGAAAATTGGAAGTCGAAAACGTCATTTTGCCTGAAAGGTATGCATAATATGCACATAATCTTATGAGCGAGCGTAGCGAGCGAACGCCTCAGAGTCGCCGGTGTAGGTCCCTCGCACTGGTCTGGGGCGCTCAGAGGTGCCAGTGAAAGACCATCAGATGCAATGGTGTGGGGTCCTCACAGGCGCCGTTGTGGGGGCCTTAGGGCTTAGAGACACTGGTGGGGGCCATCATAGGCATGTGTGGTACTGTGCCTGTGGGGACCTGGGCTGAAAGTTACTGGTGGCTCTTCATAGGCCGACAAGGGACACTCAGAATCCGGCCAGAGTCGCTGGTAAATGCCGTCAGATGCGCTACCGGAGGGCTCTCAAAGGCGCCGGTGTGGGGGCTCTTAGAACCGCAAATGCGGGCCTTCAAGAGGCATTGGTGTGGGGCGCTAAAGGCCGCCGTCCACTGCTTGAATATGCGCTGAATTTAACGTTGGGGTCTATGAGCTGCGCGCCGAATGCCGTTCAGCGCCGAAAGCGCGATTCAGCTGATTATTTACCGGCTGTTGAGCGTCGAATCATGCGCTGACGACTCAAGATTACTTTACTTCTCCTGACGACTTAACTACTTCAAGTTTTCAGTGCGCACTAGGCATGGATGATTATGCGCAAAATACGCTCCTAACCAATGGACGGCGACCTTTAGAGGTGGCGGTGAGGGCCTTCGCAGGCGCCGTTATGAGGGCACTCAGAAGCACTGGTGTGGGTCGTGAGGCCATAACATACGGATGTGGGGCTCTTACTGATCCCTCATTGGCCAGCTAGGCCATCGGAGGCCGGCAAAGGTTCCTCAGAAGCGAGTGTGGGGCCCTTCTGGAGATAAGTGTGGCTACATTAGAGCCCACGAGTTGCTCTCTCAAGCCCTGCCGCGTCCTTTTCAATTGAAGGATGGTCAGCGTGGACCCTCTGCCGCCAATTGGCACCATAGGGCCCCTCGGGCCCGATGGAACCTAAACCCGATAACGGGCACATGCCCACTAGCCCCCTGGCTATGCCACTGAATCCAAGTGATCAGGGACCCCCTTAATCAGGGGCGTCTCAGGTGACTAGGGGACTTTCAATTGGCCAGATCCCACTAAGTGACCAGGGAACCCTCTTATCAACAGGGGCCAGTTACATCAGGGGCACCTCGGGTAACTAAGGGCCTTCATATGGCTGCAGGGGCCTTGCAGATAACCAGACACTTCCCGGTTAAACACGATCCATCAGGTGACCGACCAGGGTTACTTCAGACCACTGCCCAGTGGCCAACCAGGTGATCAGAGGCCCCTCAAGTAAGTAGGAATCATCATATAATCAGGGGCCCGTCAAATAACCAGGTACCCCTCAGATAGCCAGG